TATGATGTGGTGCGGCTGACGGCTGTTCTGTGTTGGTTCATTACTCTTAGTTGGCTTTCTGCATACTGCTCTTGCCTGGCCTTATGTATGTATATGTGTGTGTGTTATACATATAGCAGTCGACGTCTGTAGGATAGAATGACTTGGTTTGAGTTGCTTGAGGGCAGATGCTTCATTGGGGGTTAGAAAGCAGAAGAAGAAGTCAATGTCTGTGGCTTAGGCACTGCTAACATGCTTCATACTCCAGAGATCAATCCCAGTTGCAGGTGACTTGGCAGCAGACTGCCTTGCGTTGGTTTCCACAGCGGTATCGAGAGTCAACCATTTAGAAGGTAACTGCAAACTGCTGAACTTGGTCAAATCACAAACAGACAAATAATGCTGGGGTTGGTTCTGCCACGACCAGCTCCAGCTCACGGGCCATGCTGCTGACGTCACCTAGTCGGGCTAACGCAGCGGTTATCAAACGGTGCTGAGGCAGTAATAAAGAAAAGTCGGCTAAAAATTGTGAAATTATTAAAGAAGGCATGTAGTTACTTAAAAGTTGAAATTTAAGTTGTCTTCCCTCGCCACTGTCGAAAATAGTTTATTTCTTGTTTGAGAACCGCTGCAACCTGTAGAGCATATACAATTACCGTTTATACACACGGCCGCATAACTGATTTTGCTGTTTTGAGCAGAATGACATATTAAAATAATCTTCCACGCAGAAATGTATTGCCACTGTGTTAATGAGGCTCACACGTCACATTCTTCTTCTGCCTCAGATCGTCCATTGCAGCATCTGCTGTCATCCAACTTTCCCCCCAAGGCATTCTATCCTTCATCATCATGTACAGCCCATTCCAAACCCTCTGCACATGTGGATTACCCACTTGACCTCACCTGGGAGGAGTCATTATTTCTAAAACACATAATAGAAACAGTTTTTGGTGAGGAAATTATTGCTAAAACACTTAACACTAATTATTTCTAAAAAGTAATATACAATAATTTCTCATTAACAAAAAAAAAAATTGTAGAACAAACTGAAATCATCACTAGATCCCCCTGTGTGGGTTCCGGGGCCCTATTTTAGGGAAAACAAGAATAGACCCACTGCCTACCCAAAAGCATGTCGTAGGAGTTGACTAATTGGGAGCTTCCTTCGAAGTTGAAGTGCATTTGCCTGAGAGGGAAGCAACCAATAGTCTGCATACACATGTGTTAGATCTGTCAAATGGATGCACATGCAACACTCAGGAACAGGACTGCAGTCCAAAAGTGGATGAACAACCAGAACTTTCCACCAGAGTTTACAGCAGGTGAACGCAAAGAAGAACACTAGATGAGGCAGCACATCTCTGGTTACAGTAAACAAACTGTCCTCACGTAACCACACAAACACAGAATAACTGTTCCAGCTGTTTGTTTACCTTCTTATACTCTTTTACTTGTTGGTTCAACCACCTCATGTCAGAGCCTGTTCACCTCCTATTTCTCTGGTTACCTGTTAGTTCAAACCCCTCGTGTGCTAGCTGTCAGTTCACCTCCTATTTTTCTAGTTACTACACCCCCTCATGTTCTAGGGGTTATTTAACCTTTTTCATACCCAAGCTTGAGTGCACCCACTAATGTCTTAGTGGCTAGTTAATCTTCTTAAAGCTTGAGTTCACCCACTCATGTCCTAGTGGTGGCGGAAGAAGTATGGACAGGGCAGACATACTCAATATGCTGCCTTCCAAAAACTTTGAGACAGAGACAGCAGCAATGAACTGCATGTGGGGAAACAGGCATTAAACGTGGACAAGCAGGCCAAAGAATGAAGATATGCCAATCAACTTCCACTAAGATGTCGACAGGGACTTCTTCTTCTTTCGTTCGCCTGAAATAAGTTGTCTATATCAGCAGTTTTGTCTCTTGTATAAACTTTACTGTCGTTGTTAGTTCATTCAGTGGTCCATAGAGTTTACGTTCCACTGTTGTTCTTTCTGGCCAAAAGGTTTGCCTTAATGTGTCAAAATCGGTGCAGTCCTGGAGTACATGCTCTGCTGTCTGGGGCACATTTCCTCAGGTGCACATAGCTGATACACCTATCTTGAATTTTGTGTACATGTGGTTACGTAATCGGTTGTGCCGTTCTGAGGCGGAGGATAATCACTTGTTCTGGTCTGTCCATAATAAAATAGTCGTCTTGTGCTGGGGCTGGTGGTTTCCTGATCGATTTAATGATTCTTTTCTTTTGGTGGTATGTGACTGGTACATCCGGCTGCTCTTTTGTTGCACCTTCCCCTGCCAGTTGATCAGCTTTCTCATTTCCAGGCACGCCACAATGAGACGGTATGCACTGCATTACGACTCTTCGCTGAACGCTGAGTTGTGTTAGCAGTATTTGCAATTCTGGTAGTTTCCTAGACTGGAGCGCTTCAAGTACTGATTTAGCATCTGTCAGCATTACCACATACTATGAGCCAAGGTTGGTATTTAGCAGTTTCTCTGTAGCTATTTTGATAGCCTGGGTTTCTGCATCGTAGTTATGGCAGTACTTCCCGGTTGGTACGCTGGACTTATCCCTAGTACCATCTGGGAATTCGATGTACACTCCATCGCCACCATTTCTAACTGCACTTTCTGCGGATCCATCTGTATAGACTCTGACCCATTGTTCTTGTGGGTATTCTTCATCATTCTGCGTTGTACACTATCTTGCTCTTTCTTGTCAAATATCCCTTTCACATTTGTCTGGATTTGTACCGTTAGTTTACATTTTTCTCTCCATGGGGTTTGTTCCGGAATACTTTTAAGTGGGCATCCAATTTCTGGAAGGTCAGGAGTTTGTCTACATATTCTTTTTGCTTGGTGTATAAAGCTGCTTCTTTTTAACCGTCCCAAGGCTAGGTTCTTAAATCTATTTTCCATCTGGTGATCTGGCATACTGAGGAACTTTTCAGCTTGTATTTGCAACTTTGTATCTCTGCGTTCTCTCAGTGCCTGTGTTTTCCCAGCTTTCTCCATTTCTAATATGGGGGTTGAATTGATCCCTCCTGTGATGACTCTGAGTGCTTGATTTTGCACTTTGTCTAACTCCTTAAATGTGGTACTAGATGCTGAACACCATGCAGTTGACCCATATTCCAAGTGTGGAAGTATGCTCTGCTTGTATACTTTATTCAGTATTTTCCCATCGGCTCCTCATGTAGTTGCACTTAGTTTTCTTAGTAAGAAAGACGAATGGATGAGCCTACTCTCCTCGAGTATGATCACAGTCTACCCTAGCAAAACAAGGTGCTGAAGTCGGAGGCAACCAGCCAAGAGGCGCACCACAGCAATCAGGATGCCACGCATACACGCCATGGAAATATGTCTCGACAGGGACAACAAGTAGCAACTGGCGGCCCAAATGTCCACAGAGACCTAGCAAGTAGCCTACGGATCACTGCCAGCTGTATTCTACTAATGATCTTTCTTTGCTGGGGCTTAGGCCTCTCACCTATGACGCTCTCCATTTTCTGCCTCGGCCTTGAGTAAACTGGCTGAACAGCCCTGTCCGAGTGGTTAGGTCGCCTCCTCATGTCCTACAGTTAGTTCACCTCCTTATGTCCTACAGTTAGTTTACCTCCTTATGTCCTACATTTAGCTCACCTCCTCATGTCCTACAGTTAGTTCACCTCCTCCTGTCCTACAGTTAGTTCACCTCCTTATGTCCTACAGTCAGTTCGCCTCCTCATGTCCAACAGTTAGTTCATCTCATGTCCAACAGTTAGTTCATCTCATGTCCAACAGTTAGTTCGTCTCCTCATGTCCAACAGTTAGTTTGCCTCCTCATGTCCAACAGTTAGTTTGCCTACTTATGTCCTACAGTTAGTGTGTCTACTCATGTCCTGCGGTTAGTTCGCCTTCTTATACTTTATTGATAGTTTATACTAGAGCTGTACTGAAAAGGTGACTATCACTATTTGGCAGAATACGAATAACGGGACCAACTATTCGGCCGAATACGAATAGTGTATAAAGTAAATCTAAAAAACATTTATAATGTGAAATGTACGCTGAACTTTTACTTCACAAAATGTAGTACAAAATAGTAAACATTTAAACATTATGTTTTGCATCCTTCAGTCAGTCTGTGGTAACTAATAACTAGGAATGAAAGTTTTCTAAATATTATAACAAGTAACTAAACTTGTAAATTGTCACTGACAGCTTAGTTAATCATGAAAGCAGCATTAGCTTTCAACAAAACCAATCGTTCTATGTTGTCAGCATTAAGGCCGTGTAATCAGAAGAGGGTATAAGGTAACCACTATTCGTATCTGGCCCGAATGCAAGTATTCGACCGAATACCAACAGTTATTAGGTCCACTATTCGGACCCGAAACGAATACGAAGCAAATGTTCGGTACAGCTCTAGTTCAAAGCCTCTTGTCCAAGGCACTAGTTACTGAACCTCCTTCTATCCCAGAAAGGTATCCCTTTCAACTCACTCATGGACGAGGTCACTTGGTGCATCATCATGTGTGGGTTCCTGGGTCTTATGGTGGGAAACCAAAAGAACACACCTCACAGCCCCAAACAAGCATATCGTAAAATCCGTCGTCAGGAAAGGCAAGGAATCAACAGTAAGCATAAAAATAAGCCAGATCTGTAAAATGTATGTGCACACAAAAACTCAGGCTCTGGAACCAGAACTAGACGAACAACCAAAACGTTCTGTCAGAGTTTACATTCGGTCAACGCTAAGAAGAAGAGCAGAGTGATAAGACAGAATCTCGAAATAAACTATTTTAATACAGCTAACAACAAGTGACACTAGAAACAGATTAGTGACGATTATATTACAATCAATATTATCAACATCAAGCAGCTGATATCTCTGTGTACTACACACTGATTTCTCATCAAATCCTCCTGTTTTATTATTTCTGATGCATCATACATACTGATACAAGTAGACAACGGAATTCAAACCTAAATGACAAAACAATGAAAACATGACATAAGCACATAATCTTGTGGACATCTTATGCTCTCTTTGTGCTTGGTTTAAGCTCGTCGAAGCACGATCTCATAAAGATGTGGGGCTTCATCTTCTGAGGCTCATAACCTTCATGACCCTGGGGACGACAAACACAAAGGTCAGTAATAATAACTTTGTATCTCCACCTCTTCTCTCCCACACTCATAACAATATTTTGGCAAAACCATGTAGAAAAAACCTGGACAACTTCTAAACAATGTGAGAGTAAAATGAAACTTTCCAAATGTTTTGCTTTTTTTAAAAAAATTATCATTCATAATCGTGATCATTCTTCTTCTTCTGTTCTTTATACGCCATTACAGCACAGACCCTCAACCAACTCATGCCAAGTTGTCCGGTAGTTTATACAGAGAGGTTCTGACCCTCAATTAACTCATGCCAAGTTGTCCGGTGGTTTATACAGAGAGGTTCTGACTCTCAATTAACTCATGCCAAGTTGTCCGGTGGTTTATACAGAGAGGTTCTGACCCTCAATTAACTCATGCCAAGTTGTCCGGTAGTTTATACAGAGAGGTTCTGACCCTCAATTAACTCATGCCAAGTTGTCCAGTAGTTTATACAGAGAGGTTCTGACCCTCAATTAACTCATGCCAAGTTGTCCGGTGGTTTATACAGAGAGGCTCTGACCCTCAACCAACTCATGCCAAGTTGTATGGTGGTTTATACAGAGAGGCTCTGACCCTCAATTAACTCATGCCAGGTTGTCCGGTGGTTTATATAGAGAGGTTCTGACCCTCAATTAACTCATGCCAAGTTGTCCAGTAGTTTATACAGAGAGGTTCTGACCCTCAATTAACTCATGCCAAGTTGTCCAGTAGTTTATACAGAGAGGTTCTGACCCTCAACCAACTCATGCCAAGTTGTCCGGTGGTTTATACAGAGAGGTTCTGACCCTCAATTTACTCATGCCAAGTTGTCCGGTGGTTTATACAGAGAGGTTCTGACCCTCAATTAACCCATGCCAAGTTGTCCAGTAGTTTATACAGAGAGGTTCTGACCCTCAATTAACTCATGCCAAGTTGTCCGGTGGTTTATACAGAGAGGCTCTGACCCTCAACCAACTCATGCCAAGTTGTATGGTGGTTTATACAGAGAGGCTCTGACCCTCAATTAACTCATGCCAGGTTGTCCGGTAGTTTATACAGAGAGGTTCTGACCCTCAATTAACTCATGCCAAGTTGTCCGGTGGTTTATACAGAGAGGTTCTGACCCTCAATTAACTCATGCCAAGTTGTCCAGTAGTTTATACAGAGAGGCTCTGACCCTCAACCAACTCATGCCAAGTTGTCCGGTGGTTTATACATAGAGGTTCTGACCCTCAATTAACTCATGCCAAGTTGTCCGGTAGTTTATACAGAGAGGTTCTGACCCTCAATTAACTCATGCCAAGTTGTCCAGTAGTTTATACAGAGAGGTTCTGACCCTCAATTAACTCATGCCAAGTTGTCCGGTGGTTTATACAGAGAGGCTCTGACCCTCAATTAACTCATGCCAAGTTGTATGGTGGTTTATACAGAGAGGCTCTGACCCTCAATTAACTCATGCCATGTTGTCCGGTGGTTTATACAGAGAGGCCCTGACCCTCAACCAACTCATGCCAAGTTGTCCAGTGGTTTATACAGAGAGGTTCTGACCCTCAATTAACTCATGCCAAGTTGTCCAGTAGTTAATACAGAGAGGTTCTGACCCTCAACCAACTCATGCCAAGTTGTCCGGTGGTTTATACAGAGAGGTTCTGACCCTCAATTTACTCATGCCAAGTTGTCCGGTGGTTTATACAGAGAGGTTCTCAGATCAGTGTACAAACTCCGGAGCTTACAGCTGGTGAACAAAGAAGAAGAAGAATGTATAAAATGTTGCCCCAATGTGGATCTGAACCCAAACCCAGAGCTGAGCTACTCAACTGGAGGCCTGTCTGCTGAACCCGGCCAGCAAATAACTGCCAACTGTACTGCAATAATAATTGTTCTATGCTCAGACTGTGGCCTCCAGCTCACGACAATTCCCATTTTCAAAATTGTTGCCCCTTAGTAAACTTAGATAAACAGCCTGGACCTAGAATTGAAACACAATTAGGCAGCTGTAGATTACCTTCGACCAGTCGTAACTGGAAGCATAACCAAAGATGTTGCCCTGGGCATTGAAGCAACATGTGGTAATGGGCAAATCAAACTGTTCCGATGTCTTCAGCTTTGTCCTGGCATCTTTGTCCCAGAAACTAAAGCGCCCATCGGATCCCACAGTCGCTAAAGTTCCATGGACAGGATGGAATGAGATGTCATTCACCTGGAAAATCAAGAAAATAAAGTTTAACAAAAGCTCACTGAAAGCTGTGGCATATATAAATGGCAGATATGAAGAGTTTAAAAAAAAACCTTTCCGCGCCTTTAGGCGTTCTGGCTATAAAGTGGTAGACATTTTTTATAGACCAAATGACACCCAGTTGGTGATGTAATCAGCATCATGTTGGCTGCTTTACTTCGCAAATGTTACTATTTTAGTCAAGGGGAAATAACATCAGACTTGATGCAGACTTGAACCCATGACCTTCAGGCAAGCGTCTAGCAGCTACGACATGGCAGCGTCTGATTGGCTGATAACAGACAGATAAACAAACTATGCATGAAAAAGAGATGAACCAGAGCAGAACGAACGAACTTTATTCACAAATTGGGCACGCAGGCCCGTCTTACATTCGGCCCTTCCAGTGAACCATCTTTCGCACAGCAGTTGTATTTTACTAATAAAGCATGTTATGATCATATGATGATCAGGGT